AATAATTTGTAAATATACTTGTAGTTCTTTATATGGTCTGAAGCATGAACAGACTTAAAAAAAATTGTCTTTCCCTTGGAGTATACCATGAAGTTTATGATAGACAATCTGGTCGGACCAGTCCATCTGTCACATATGATTGTGCAACCATTAGTTTCCCATTTTGACCTCAACTTGTTAACATACTCGCCAATGTCTTTATACTCTATATCCAAATATTTGTTTCTTATCTCATAGGGAGTGGGAGGTTGTACTCCAACACCTGTCTGTTGACATCCCACTACCATATTTTTGAAATGATGTGATGATGCTTTCTCAGCATGGACATTTTCATAGATAAAGAACTTGCTAATTAGATGCCCCATTCCCTCATTCACATTACCTCCAGTGAAATAACTCCAAACAATCTTTTGACATGCTTTGGATGACTTATATAAACTTGGGGCTATTGGTGGTGTTGGTTGTGATTCTCTAAGACTGCCTCCCTGTCTCATTTGTGCACCACCACTTGTCCTGGAACCTTGTGCTCTATTAGGAATTTTATGAAGGTGTTTTCTTTCCCATGCTGACTGTTTGGAGGCACGTAATGCTTGTTTCAAACTGCTTCGTTCTTCAGGTCCCATGTCATCATCACATTCGTCCTCATCGTCATCATCATCACTGTCAACCGCTTGGCCATAGACTTCTCCTCGTAGCCCAGCTCGAATATTTTCCATTCCATGTGTTATCTTTTCCTTCTGCTGTTTTTTATTTTTTAATAATGTGCTGATGAATGTCTTCACTTCTGGGGGGACATTATCGCATCGTTGGACATTTTTTGCTGGATCTAATCCACTGAGATTGTAATTAAGTCGTGTCACTCCGCCACTCTTCATTACCCGACCACAATATTTGCAAATTGTGCCATGTTTGTTTCCGTCTATTGGGTCTTCATGTTCCCAAGCTGGATCACGTTTAGTAACTCCACTAGACATCTTAAACATACCTATATTTATTTTTCATGAAAATTAGACAATTATTTTTTGGCCAAAAAATATAGTAGTGATGACGGTTATATAAGAGAACCTAAATAATAAAGTTATTCTACAGAAGAATTAAATACGAAGTAAAGAAAATGATTGTAAAAATTTAAGTAATTATAAAAATAATATTGAATAATAAAACCTAATATTAATGAATAATAATCCAATTTGATAAAAAAATAATCCTAATATAAAACATAGTGATGAATAATAATCCAATTTGATAATAATCCAATTTAATAATAATTCAATTTAATGAATAATCCAATTTGATAATAAAAAAAACCTAATATTAATGAATAATAATCCAATTTGATAATCAAACCTAATATTAATAAAATAATAAATAACATTAAACATATTAAAATTATCCTAGGGAATAATTATACAACATTACTTAATTACTTAAAAAAATTAACATGCAATTGTTAACATTACTTAATTACTTACAAAAATTAACATGCAAGTATTAATTACTTAAAAAAATTAACATACGAGTCCACACAAATTTTTTTGTTGTTGTATAAATTACAATAATATAAATATAAGTTTGTAAACTTACTTTAAATATGGAACCTTTGTGTTCAAGCTTTGTAATGGATCTGGAATGGCTTTGAAAGGGGTAAGGGAAGAAGAAGAAACGAAAATGCTCTGAATGACTCTGATACTCCACATCTGAGAATGTGAAAGAATATCACAGACTCACAGTGGCACACGGTTTTGAATGTGAAAGAATATCACAGACTCACAGTGGCACACGGTTTCATTATGAAAGCACTATTATTTTTGTCCATGGTCTGAAATTGTAAAAAGTGATTGTAAAAGTTGTCAGGTGAGTGTGAGTCAGATGACCCAACCACACACACACACCGACACGCCACCACACACGCACACAACACAACACAACACACGCACACAGTCTCTCTCTCGATCCTTCTCTCTTCTCTGATCTCCCTTCTCCCCCTTCTCCATTCTCCCACACACATGCACAGAGACCCAAGGTCTCTCGATCCTTCTCCCACATCGCCTTCTGCTCCTCCCTCGTCGACGCCATCTCTCTCATTTCTCTCTGCACCGAGGGTCCGAGACCCACATACACACACGCACACCATTGCACCTGCTTCAAGAAGACACCCATCATCATCAGCAACCTCTTTCTCCCTCTCCTTCTCGTCTCTACAACTCGGCGAACGCAGGAACTCCGGCGAGGTTCTTGAATTTCTCCGATTAGGTAAGCTTCGGGTTTGCCTCTTTCTGTTCTAGATTGAAGCTTATATGTGAAATTTAAGTTCAAAATCGTGTTTTTGCGAGGTTTTTGGGACGAAATCGGCTCCGGAATAGGCACACCCATCTCCAGCGAGGCCATGGGTGTCGACGAACTTTCCGAACACCTCCGACCGTTTCACAGCAAACGAAATTTATAAAAACATTCATCTCGTCTTCTATTTCATTTTGATACCTAGATCGATGTCTAGGGTGCTCTTTTACAGTCGGCCGGAGTTGTAGAAGCTCCGGCGTTCTTCTCCGAGTAGCATAGTTCCAAAATATCGCGATAGTTTCGGAAATATCGTGATATTATTGATAATATCGGGATATTTTGACGAAAACCCCTTGGATACCTATTAAAATATCGGTACCGTGAAAAACCGATAATATCGGCGAAATATCGTCGATATTATCGGCGAAATATCGTCGATATTATCGGCATTTTGTTCCTTGGCAGTAATGATGTGTGTGCGTTGTGACCCAGCATAATAAGTGATGTAGTGGGTGTCCTCAAAGAATATGCATACTGTAAAGTGTCCACTAAAATCTTGGGATGGCAGCGATTTTGGTGAGATAGTTGAAGGGTGTCATTGGTTTGGACTAGTAAGCGCAGCCTATGATTTTTGGGTTTTTTGGGTTGTGCAGATTCACGGCGGAGGTGAAAAAATGAAAGAGAACCGACATAGCTTTTCGTGTCGATTCCCACAGATGGCGTCAAATGTTGATGTACAAAACCAGAAGGGTCTTGAAACAACATAAATCCGACCGTGAATCTGCAAGAAGGTAAATAACACAAGATGTATCGTGGTTCACCCCAATGTTTGGGCTACGTCCACACTGATATTGATTGTATTTCTCTCTAACTGTATGTATGGATTACAAGGGTGAAGGGGAATCCCCCGGAGAAAGAAAGTGTTGTGTTTGTAAAGGTATTGCCTTCTATTGGGTTCACCGAGTCCCATTTGTGAGGGGGGAGGAGTCCCCTTTTATAGAATAAGGGGCTCCTCCTTTTACATAATTATGGGTTGGGTAATGGGGCCCAAATGTTAAGGCCCAATGTGTCAAGGTCTGAGGCCCAATATGTGTGGTACTAACAATATTAATCTATTTCAACTTAAATTAGTGACTTTTTTCTTTTAAAAAAGAGATTATGTAGTGGCTTCGTCATAACAATTTACCTTTTCGAGGATGAGAAAAACTCACAGAGGCATTAACCTACCTCTGACCACCATCGTGTGATTCACCAGCACCAGACGTGCAGTGTAAAATACAGATCTAAATCCATCATCAATCCCCGAGCCACACCATTGTGATTAACTTAAGGGGTTTTTTTTTAACTTTAATCCTTCAAGAAGATTGAAATTTAAAATAAACCTAGTGTTAGATTAAATATTGATTATAATCCCTTGATGTGTCCTTAATTCAAAATAATTAATGTGCATTTTATTTAATGTCTCCCATTAAATATTTAAATTTATTAATATACAAATTTTAATTTACTCTTGACCAAAAAAGAGTTTTTTAATTTATTAATTTTATTTAACATTCTTTGAACTTGAAAGACTCAATTAATGTATCTAAATGTTAATACCGCGAAATATGCGTACCGAAATGTATTATATTGAACTTATGTATTTAAATGTTAGTATCGAAATGTATGTACCGAAATATATGTACCGAAATGTATTATATTAAATTTATGTACCTAAATGTATGTACCAAAACGTATGTACCTAAATGTATGTATCAAAATGTGTGTGCCTAAATGTATGCACCGAAATGTATTATAATGAATTTAATGTACCTAAATGAAGAAGACAAAGTACATCGAAATATATTGTATAACAAAAATTAGTTTATCTAAATGTTTACAATAAAATATATTACGATAAATGAAATGAAAATAAAAATTATAATGAAATAAAATTAATACATTAAAAATTAAGAAAAAAAGAGAAATATTAAATTTTAATATTACTCATAATTTTAGTATAAAAATCATTTTTACCAAGAATTAAAATGAAGTTTTCTATAATTTAAATTATTATCTAGCTATCAAATTTATTTTGGCCTTTCCTCCGCGCTGCCTAATAAGTCAAAGCATATCGCTGAAACTTTTGAAAAATGATATTTAAACAAAGAATAATTAGTTAGATTTGAAGCATGTGAAAGTTGAATAAAGAATTCTATTGCGGTGGATTGTCTTGGTAGGGACAGATGCAGGGGAGAGGTAGAACCGTAAATAACGAAAGGGAAAGATTATTTGAGTTTCGCATAGAGTGCTGGGTCTACCATTTGAGTTTCGCATGGACACGTGGTGGATAGCGTGTTGTAAACTAAATTTAAAAAGTGGGTGAGAAGAGGAGAGGAGATGAGAGCCTTGTATTTTTATTTAGGGATGTGATATTCACACACTTTATTTTATTTCTCACACATTTTTTTAATTTTCGGTCATCGGATCGGATGAATTGAAGAAGATCAACATATATAAATTATCAAGGATGTGTAAGAAGTAAAATAGGGTATGTAGATAGCACACGCTTTTATTTAGAGTAAATGGCACGAAACCTCCCCATACTATAATTTCATACCTCATATTTTAAACATTATAATGTCATATTTTATTTTATGAAACATTTGCAATGTCAAATTTCCGTTAAATTTTCTGTTTAGTTGACTGAAAATGATGACGTGGTAGATGCGTGGCCACTCTAAGTTAAAAATTAATTAAATATTGATAAATTAGCAGTTTTTTGTCTAAACAAAATTAAAATTAATTAAAACAAAAAAGCTCTCTCCGTCTTCTCTTATCTTCTCGTTCTGGTCGTGATTGGGCAACACCTGCAGCCCAAAACCCATCCCTAGGCAAATGTAATCCCCAGCTTCGACCACACCACCTCGATCCCCAACTTCGACCACTCCGCCTCCCGCGCCTGCTCCTTCTTCTCTTCTTCTTCTTTCTCTTCGTCTCCACTGTCACTGATGTCGCAGCAAATGTTGGCGTTCCCAAATTTTCCAATCTCTTTCCGCAATTTCAAACATACCATATACTCCTGACTGAAAGTTTCAAAGGAAAAAACCCAAAAAAATAGAACCCCAAATCGTATTAATCTAGAGAGGGACAAGGAAAAGTAAATGAGGTTACATTATTTGAAATCTCTTACCTAATTTTTCTGGGATGTTCCTAACATATGAACAATTGCTTTTTCTGGGTTCGTATTCATGTTCGGCTGTTGGACAACGAAAGTTTTCTCGCCGGCGACTTCAGATCCAAAGACCGTGAATGTCGTGTTCATACGGGTTGTAGCAGCAGCAATTGTGGACGACGTCTTGGTGGGGGCTCGCGGGAGAAATTACGAACGACATCGTGGCTGCTGATTGTAGAGGCTCAGATTGCAGAAGAAAAACACGGGGCTGCAGCAATGTCGTTGATTCCGCGGTTTCGTGGGGCTTTAATGTGTTGTTGAACTCGGGGATTGCTGAAGCTCGGGGCTTCGTGGTGGCTGCAGTGTGTCGAAGAAGGTGAAGGCGGAGAAGATCCGGGGGCTGATGGTTCGATCTGGGGAGAAGAGAAGCCAGGAGAGAGAGAAAGAGTTTCTTTTTTCACGAATTTTAATTTGTTCAGACTAAAAAATCCTTAGTTTATTAATATCTAATTAATTTCTTAATCCAATTTGGTGAGGGAGAAGAGCTCACGCCTGCGATCTCATCATTTAACATTCAAATTGATAGAAAATTTAACAGATATATAACTTTGCAACGAATTCGTAAATTGATGTATGATATTACAATGTTTAAAAAATAAGATATAAGTTTGTTATTAGACCCATAGTTGAGGAGGTGGTAAAATGTAATTTACCATTTTATTTATACTAATCATGATGAGTTTTCTTCCTTAAAAGTAATACTAAGGTTTTAAAAAGTGTTAGGTACTAGTTATGCGGGCAAGAGCCTAGTGCCTAGGTGATTTTTGTTTAATTTTAATTAAATTTAGTATATAAAATAAAAAATACTTAAAAATATATATATAATTGTATCGAAATAAATAAATAAATTGTAAAATAAAATGACATATATAAAGTATTAGAACATATTGAAAACATGAAAAACAAACATATAATGAGTTTTTATCCAAATTTTCAACAAGTCTTTTGCAATTTAAAAAAAAAAAATCAAAATGAAAGATATCTAATTTTGGTCTAAGTAAGAGTCGCGATCTAGGCGGACGCTTTTCGACACTCTTTCTTAATTTTCAAACCCCTAGAGATTAATAATCACATAATCACATTCATATTAAGATTCTACTTCAAGTTTACATAATTACATTCCTAATTAATAATACTATTCACAACAGTTGAAAGCATACACATAATGAATTGAATTATATAAACTGGTTTAAATTTAGGTAGTATGTCTTATGTGTTAGGAATTGAATTATACGATGTTGCAACTGCAATTTTGCAGCAAAGGGTTAGGACGGAGGGCAATGCGGTTTGCAGAAAAAGACGGTAGGAGGAGAAGGGACGGTGCGGGCCTGTGGGTTCCCTTTCATTTTTCCTTTTAATTTAGTATTTGTTTAAGTTAAAATTAAATTTTGCGAAACTTTCCGTTAAAATAGTTTAGTTTTATTAAGAAAAAAATTACACATAAAGTATACTTTTAATATTTAACCTTAAATTGAAACAATACTTTTTAATTATTTCAACGAGAGACGAATTTTAATAAAGTTCATGTTTGATTGGGTTATGAAGGAAGGTATTTCGACTAAAACCCCTGTTTGAATTCCGATTCACAGGGCGAGTCATCGTCGATTCCGACGATTCAGATTCAACGACTTCGAAGGGCGAGTTGGGCGTCGTCGGTGCAACAAGAAACGTGAGTCTGATCATGAAGTTTATCTGCAAAAAATCTTTAACAGTCATGGACTCATGGCCACCACTGGTTTTGTTCTCTCTGTTTCTCAATTTCAGACCTACGGAGGAAGAAGAACGAAGAATGAGAAGTCAAAAGTGGTTCTTAATCCTTCTAATAATTCTTAGTTGCACCAATGAAAATTCGAATGTCAAAAACAAACCCAGGAAAACTAGAGAACATGAGAATTTGAGCCTAATTTAGTCAAAGAATCTCAAACCTCAGGGTTTTCAAAACCACAATGCACGTTTCTAAAAATTACCTTAGCTAGTTGGGTTAGATTCACTTATTCCATAGCAAAAAAATGTTTGTCAAACCGACTTGTAGATTGGAAGTTCTGAAATTTTCTTTCTAAAATTTGTCCGAAGAAGAAGAAACAAATTGGAGAAGATGAAGTCGTGAATAATGAGAAACTGTGAGTTTAGGGGTGACGAAGAGGAATGGGGAGGTCCGGAAGTGGGATGGTAGGTGGAAGGGATGGGTGGGGCCCACTTCCCACTTAACTTTTTAAGTTTTTTTTTTAAAAAAAAAATTATTTTCTTTTGAACTGATTATACTAACAAATTATATAAATTGGTTTTACTTAAAAAAAATATATAAAAAAAAACTAATTTTACATATATTTAAAACTGATTTACAAAAATAATCAAAGACATGTTGAACTGATTCTACAAAAAATGATCAACGACAGATTGAATTGATTCTGCAAAAATTGCCGAGGACGGGTTGAGCTAATTGTGCAAAAATGGTCGATGACTGATTGAACTAATTATGCAAAAATGGTCGCAGATTGGTTGAATTGATTCTGCAAAAATGGTCGATGATGGGTTGAACTGATTCTGCAAAAATGGTCGATGATGGGTTGAACTGATTTTGCAAAAATGGTCGAGGATGAGTTGACCTAATTCTGCAAAAATGATGGATGAATGATTGAATTGATTCTACAAATATAGTCGAAGACAGGTTGAATTGATTCAGCAAAAATGGTCGAGGACGGGTTGAATTGATTCTGCAAAAATAGTCGAGGATTGATTGAACTGATTCTGCAAATATAGTCGAAGACGGGTTGAACTGATTATGCAAAAATGGTCGAGGACGAGTTGAACTGATTCTGCCAAAAATGGTTGATGACTGTTTGAACTGGTTCTGTAAAAAATTTCAAAGATAAGTTGAACTAATTTTACAAAAATGGTCAATGATGGGTTGAACTGATTCTGCAAAAATAGTCGATGATTGATTGAACTGATTCTGCAAAAATGGTTGATGACTGTTTGAACTGGTTCTGTAAAAAATTTCAAAGATAAGTTGAACTAATTTTACAAAAATGGTCAATGATGGGTTGAACTGATTCTGCAAAAATAGTCGATGATTGATTGAACTAATTCTGCAAAAATGGTCAACGACGAGTTGATCTGATTCTGCAAAAATGGTCGATGACTGTTTGAACTAGTTCTATAAAAAATTTCAAAGATGAGTTAAACTGATTTTACAAAAATGGTCAATAACGGGTTGAACTAATTCTGCAAAAATAGTCGATGATGAGTTGAACTGATTCTGCAAAAATTGTCAAGGCATATTGAACTGATTTTAGTAATATATGATACAAACTGATTCTGCATATAATTTCAAAACTAATTCTGCACAAATAGTCGAGGATGAGTTAAACTTATGAAATATATTAATTTTGTTAAAGGTGTGAGGGCTGTGTTCTGTTTAACCTAAAGCCTTAGGGTATGATTGGTATTTTAAAACATTGTTTTCATGTTTTTGGGTTGTGTTTTATTGTTTTTATGTTTTTGTCTCTTCTTAACATGTTTAAAAACCAGTGGAGTTTTTTGAAATATAGTGAAAGTTTTTGTCTTTATATATAAAGCTCTCTTTTATTAATTTTTAAACCAAAAATTAACAAAAGCGACCAAATTAGCTAAATTAGAAACACAGCAACCAAGATAGACTTTGACTATAAAAAGAGTGACCAAAAAGATTTTTAACCCTATATAAAAATGACTTATTGTAAACTATAGCTAATATTTTTACTTGAATCATAGAAACTTAAAAAGGTTTCTCAATTCTTAAACTTAACCATATGTGTGATCTAATATCGATAACTAATAAGTATGTGATTTTTTTATTTTAATTTTTTTACAAACAAGGCTAAAGTGCAATTCGTAGGGAGTAGAACTATTGCCTCTCCATTCCCTTACCTTCTCTCACACTTTGTTTTTTGTATTTTTGTCTCAATTAAAAAATCAATAGAAGATGTTAACATGATTTAATTGTAATTGTTCAAATAAGAAGAGAGAAAAGAGAGATATTAGGAAGGGAGAAAATGTAAGTGAAATTAGGAGGAAAGAGAATTCCCTTCTAATTCGTAAGGAAATCATTCGATGTGGCTTTGTATGTCTGCCAAAGTTTTCGATACGACACTCATTGTTCAACTATTTCATATTCTTTTCGGTAATATTTATTTATTCCAAAAAAAAAAACACACACACAAAGAAGATAGATAAAAGAAAATATCCATGAGAAAAAACAAAAGAAATGAATGTGGAACCATGTTTTAATGCAAGTTTCCATGTTCAATCAATCAATCATATAAATAATAAAACTTGAAGCGAAGACCATCATTATCATGGTTACTAGTACTCTCTCTCTCTGCTTTCTTCTCTCCGAACATGGTAGGCCCTTCTCTCTCTCTCCCCCCCCTCTCTTGGTTTGGTGGTTGCTGTTGCTTGAGTATCTACATAGCTTTCAGTCTTCATACCACCTTTTGGAGGCTTGAAGTCGGAAACCCTACCCACTTGGACTGACTGACTCGTCCACCATCCATGCCGCAACTGTTGAAACTAAACCCCATACTCTTACAAATCCTCCAATCTTATCTCTTCTCCATTCAAACCCGTACTCTTTCAGATCTAATATGTTTACTAATTTGTATTTTGTAATGAGTAAGTTGAGAGTTCACTGTTGGAATCAATTTGGCGCATACTCACCGATGGCGTCTATGGTTGATCGGAATCTCCCATGAACAATGGCGAGCGGTGAATAGGGATTGTTTGGAGAGTGTGATTGAATCCTTAAGGGACTGCCTATATATTTCCAAGGAGAATCAAATCGCGGGTATGATTTTGGAGCAAGAGTGGTGTGTTTGTTATATGTGAACTATCCTTATCAAATAAGGCTAAGGCGGGGGAATGCATATTAAGATTATTAGATGATCATATCAGATCAAATAATTGTAGAGAATATCCAAGTTAGGGTTTGTATATATAGATCTTGAGAGTTCTTGTATGGGAATAGAACCACAACCAAACCTTCATTGACTCCTCATTCTGAACGAGATTTCGATTCACTCACATTCACTCCTAACTTAGTTAATAAACTAATTGTCTCACTCAATGGTGAAGAAATACAAATACAGAGATATTTCTATAGAAGAAATGAAATAAGGACGTTATTCCTTATCGAGTGTATCTATGAGGGAATTTAGGATAAAAATATACAATCCTCCTAGGATATGATTATGTTGCCTAATCCTCAAAATATTCTAATTTATCATGAATTAGAAGAGCAATTTATGCCATATGAGTTTTCTATTCAATAATACAACGTCATGTAAAAAAAATACTTTTAGGGTGTGTTTGTTTGGCATCACTAGCCCTCACTAGACTAGACTGGACTAAGTTTTAGTCCAGTCTTGTGTTTGTTCCATACCCGGACTAAGTTTAGTGGGATTAGCAGGGACTCGCCCCGACTGAGTCCCTCGCTAACAGGCCTTAGCGAGAACCCCCGATTCGGAGAGGACTGCTAAGCCGCCCTTTAATCCCGTCATCTCCCTTCTCCTTCGCACATTCGCACATTCGCACATCAACCGCAGCAACTGCAGCTTGCTCCTCGTCCCTTCGCACCTTCGCCCTCTCCCTTCTCCTTCCTTGTCGTACCACCTCGTAGTCGTCCAACATATAAACAATCGACGACGGACCAATATCGCTGTAAGTGGTCTGATCAGGTGAGCTTCATTTGCCTTGCATTTCAATGGGTAATTTTTTAATTTTCCAAATTCAATTGCTTTTTGTTCATTCCTTTCGGTTTTGTTTATGCATTTCAATGGGAGTTTTGAGTTTTTTTTTTAGGGTTTTTGGTGATTAACTATAATCCAACATTCATAATTATCAAATTTAGTAGAATGGCACTGGGTCACTAACTGCAGCTTGTTTTTTGGATATACTTATGAAGAATTTGACATTCGGGAATCCATTCGCAGCTTATGGATGTTTTCAATTTTTGTGGTTCTTCGAGTGTAATGTGTGAGAAATTCACCCTTATATGGAGATCTTAGTAGTGGATTAGGGATGTATCATGTCCAGGATGATTGGTGTTGTATTGGCAGTGACGAGGTATCTAGTTGGATTGATGTGTTGAACAATTATGCTATGAGCTAAGATTTAAGAAGAGGCCTCTCTACCTATTGTGATCATACTTGATCTTTTTCGAGCTTTGTATTCGAATATTTAACCGTTTCTTCAACTCTAGACCTAGAAGGAAAACCATTTCTTCAGCCCTTGAGGGTGCCACTTGTTTTCTAGTGAATATTTAACATAGTGGAAGCTTCTCTTTGGAAAATTTTGTGAGTAATCGTTTTCTGAAGCTTTCATCAACGTTTTGTGAGTAACCATTTCTTATACACAGTTTATATTGAAAAGAAAGGATTGGGGGTATGAATACTATGTATGCGGAAAGGAAATGCTTGCAGTCGCTTATACCTTTTTGGAAAATCAGTGTGATCTTTGGCAGGGTTTTTTGGCAAAAGGAAAGGTCATATTAGTTTATGGTATGCAAAAGTGGCAGTTTTGAATGCTTTCTGTGGTCCTTTCCCATATTTGGGGTGTTGCCATGAGTCCCATAGAGTTGATGTTTTTGTTCTGTCTTCTTTTGTGTATTTTTTTTTCTTTTTTTATTTCGTTGCCTTTTTCGTGATCATGAGATTGAAAATATCACTTTTATTCCTCATAATGCGATGATTCTCACATATTCGTTGTTGGGTGGGCGATATGTATTTTTTTCCTTACTCTCTGTGTATAATATGTAATTGTGAGTTGTATTTGGGTTTAGGGGTTATGAGTAGCAAATCAATGCTCCCTTGTATGAGTTGGGATGGAAACAGCTGTTTGACTAGTGTCTGTTTTTCTCTTTGGGAGACATATTCTGTGCTCCTTATGTACATTTTACTGGACGTAGTTTTGTACTTCTCTTCGTAGATTTCATGTTGTCGATTTCTCAACAATGTATCATTTAGTCAGGTTGTCTGAAATGGTTGTTTAGACAAGTTGTATTGTTTCTCAACAATGTATTTTAGAAATTTGGTGTGTAGTCATGTTTAGTGTATGAGAAGTTGCATCGTCCTTGAAGAAGGCGTTCACTGGAGGTGATTTGATTTACATGTCTTCCTGCCAGCACTACCTTTTTAATGAACCCTTGAAGGATTGTGCTTTGCTCGAATTACTATCATATAAATTATATTCTTTGTTGTATCTTGATTTTGTTAGTATACAGTAATTATGCATGTACTTTGTAGTCTTGCTGCTGTTTAAGCTCTGTCATTGTAAGTTTTCGTTTTAAGCTTTGTAGTTGGCTTTTCAATTTGAAGCATTGAAACTCTACGCAAGCGGAAAGCTGCATTTCGTTTCAGATTTAGTCTTTTGAGCTATGGCTTTTATCTTGAAGCTCTGTTTGTCAGTATGCAATAGTTGAGACCATTCATGTCGGTTTTTCTGTTGCATCATAGTTCTTAGCTGCAACTGTTAAGACTAGAGGAAGACAATGATCTTTGCATATGCTAGAGTTTCAAGTTTTTTTTTTTGGCTTATGAACTAATCTTTGCATATGCTTACTTTTTGGTATCAGGTTGGACTAGCCATTTAGGAAGCTTGAAACTCTGGTGGGAAAGTTGCCTGTGGTAAGAGAGATTTACACTCACTCCTACGACAAGATAGAGTGCAACTGCTACCCAAAACGCAGGCCAGGTGATATGAAATGCAGCTAAAAGAGTAAGCAAATGCAAAGCCAAAAGGACCCAACTACTGAGCCTATATCCACGATGTTCCATTCCCTGATAAGCTATAAGCCTGCCGAAACTAAATTCAAATGGTTCTCTTATCTTATCCAATCCATGCAACATAATGTTTCAACTTAGTTTGAATGAGTCAACGATCTTGGAAGTATGAATTTTGTAATTTATGTATTTAGTTCTTAGTTATCTGTTATGTTTTAATTTGAAGAGTTTTGGTTTCATCTCAAACTCTCAGTCAACTCTTATATATATAATGAAAATATACATATGGCTAATTCATCTAGCCTAATTATACCTGAACTGAGATTTCTATCTTGGTATCATCCCTCTTTGCGTCTAACGACAAAAACTTTCTCTCAACTTTTCCCATGGATCTTGTTAATTGTACAAACCTTAGGATATGGATGTTATTTGTTCGGCCAATGCTACTCTTGAATCATGTATGTTTCTTTTGTTGGCAAGAGAATTTGGTTTTTGTATTTTTATTGAGTCTCACTCTCATCTAATATTATTAATTTTAATAATATCTTTAATAAAAAAGCAATTAAAACAAAACAATAATGTAGTCCTAGTCTGAGCAAACACCAAACTAGTGACAATACTGTTTTCATTATCCTGCTTCTTAGTCCGACACTGCACCAAACGTTTCACTAAGCTAGTCCAGCTTAGTCTAGTCTAAGTCAGTCCAGCTTAGTCCCTGAAGCTAGTCCAGTCCGAGACAGTCCGGTATAACAAACGCACCCTTATGTAACAAAGTATCACAAAGTATCATTGAATAAGAGATGACACAACAGTGAACCATTTCAAGAGAATTTTGTATTTCCACCTTTTTACCATAAAGCTAAGGTAAATTAAAAATACACGGATGAGAATTTCAGCTGACAGGCCACGGCCCCATGACTCAGAAGGGTAATGATGACAAGCAATTTTCAATTTTTTTGAAGGAGAGACCAAGTCAAGCTACCGCCAAAAGCGCACACCGTTGATTTCTCCCTGCCCTGGACTGAGTATTCCATGGGGTCACCACCATACCACAGGACACCCCAGCAGCTCACAAATGTTTACAGCCACCCACTCACTCTCTCCTCCTCCTGCTTATCTATTTTATTATCCTTTTATTTATCTGTTTGCGAACTTTTTTCACCATTATTATCACTAATTACATTAATTAATCACACTCAAAGTCAAAGCCAGCAAAGCCTAATCAGGCTTCAATTAATACACTTTGAAAAGCTCTTGTGCTTTTTGGGTCTGGATTCCGTTTTCAGATGTTACCTGCAGACTAGAAGAAGATCCAGAGCAAACCCCATGTGCGCACACCACCTGTTCGGTCAAATGTCTCAGTGAAGCAAACCCGCTGGGGGGGGGGGGGGGAGAGAGAGAGAGAGAGAGAGACAGACAGAAGAAATTCCAAAGTTTGGATTTTTAAACCCATAAAACAATTGTATGGTTTGCAGAGCTTTCACACACATCATTACAGCTAATCACAATCATTGGCATTGGCATTCTGCCTGAGAGCCCCCCCAAGTCTCTATAAATATCAACCACTCTGTCTTCTCAGTCTTGCAGTTGTTTTTTTTAGTCTTTTAGGTAATTCTTTGCAGACCCAGATAAATACTGGGATCTGGCCACCCAAAAGCTACCCCACTTAGGTCTTCCCCGAAACCCTCCAACCCATTATTGCTTTGGGATTTGTGCTTCTGGGGTTTCATTGCAATTGATCTATTCTTTCTGCTTACATTGATTGAATCTTTATGTTTTAGTGTTTTGTTGCCTTTCTTTGTCATTGTTTGACTGATTTGCTTAATGGGTGGCCACTCTCCATTTGCTTTTCCTTGCATTTTGCTTCTTTTCTTGGGGGGTTGTTTTGCTTCTGTTCAAGATCAAGTGAGGGATAGAATCACACAATTGCCAGGACAGCCAACTGTGGGGTTTGCTCAGTACTCTGGTTATGTAACTGTCAATAGGAAAGCCGGTAGAGCATTGTTTTACTGGTTGACTGAATCCCCTGCAAATCGTCGGCCCGAGTCTAGACCACTAATGTTGTGGCTTAATGGTGGCCCTGGTTGCTCTTCTGTTGCTTATGGAGCAGCTGAAGAGATTGGACCATTTCATATTAGACCTGATGGAAAGACCCTTTACTTGAATCCCTATGCTTGGAACAACTGTACGTACAAATGGATATTATCTACTTTATCTACACAGTTGTCATTTCTTTGTTTGTTAGTTCTAATTGATTTACAAATACTTGGCAGTGGCAAATTTGCTATTCCTTGAATCACCAGCTGGTGTCGGCTTTTCATATACGAATACGAGCTCAGATTTGTATACAGCCGGAGACCAGAGAACAGGTGGTTGTTCACTTTAGTTTTGTAACTTTTTTGAATCTGTAGTTTCTAAATTGGTAAGCCTAGAAATTAGAAGATTCATGAGTTGTGTGAATCATGTTTCTCTGTTTACATATTAGTTTAGTTTGACACTGCTGTATATTCTTTGGTATCTGGTTGTCTTGTGTAGCTGAAGATGCGTATGCATTTCTAGTCAATTGGTTCGAAAGGTTCCCACAGTACAAGCACAGAGATTTCTACATTGCTGGAGAAAGTTATGCAGGTACTTATTTAATTTACCTCAACCTATTTGCCTCCTTTCGTCTTATAATTCATTTTTACTCGGTTCTTTGCGTACTTGATATGATGATGACGAGTTTGTTTTAAAATTTCATTTTCAGGTCATTATGTTCCTCAGTTGTCTCAAATCATTTATGAGAGAAATAAGGGAAAGAAGAACCCAATTATTAATTTCAAGGGATTTATGGTAAGAATGCAGGATTCTTTTGAATTGCAATTCTGTGCAAATATATTCTGCATCTTTCCTAAAGCAGGGGGTGCTTGGTACAACAGAAATGCTTTGACTTTTATTTGAAGAATACTAATAAAAAGTGACACACTACTTTTTTCACAATCGAAATAGTATTTGATTTATTATTTTTATTAAATTTGTAAATATACGTGTCTATCACCCTTTCAAATTAAGCAACTTATAAAATTGACTTTAAAGTGTAAACTACAGCTTAATTTTATTTCTGTTTGTTTTTAATTTTTCTCTATTTTGATATGAAAAGTGCTGAAACTAACCTTGTGGTAACTTTGTTATCTAATAGAATATTAAGTATTTTAAGTGCAACCGAGCAAATCAATGAAGTACTTCATTGTAAATTCAAGCATTATTTTGAGACTAATTTATTTCATACAATATTTTGAGACTAAATTTAAACACACAGTTCTTATGTTCTATATTTTTTATTACTTACTATGCCCCTATATTTTTTATTACTTACTATGTCCCTATATTTTACGAGAACTTATAGAATCTGAAATGTGAGTTAGTGCCCAATTTTACACACAGTTCTTCTTCTATGGAATACCTTCTCAAGTTAAAAAAAAAAAAAAAAAAAGACCTATTTATATGGGTGTATTTATCATGTTGATTTATTTCTTTTTGCCAGGTGGGAAATGCTGTGACTGATGATTATCATGATTATGTTGGCACATTTGAATACTGGTGGAACCATGGTTTAATTTCTGATTCTACCTATCGATCGCTACGTGTAACCTGTGACTCTGGATCCTCTCAGCATCCGTCAGTGGACTGCATGAGGGCGCTTGAACTAGCAGAAATGGAGCAGGGAAACATCGATCCATACAGCATTTATACTCGTCCTTGCAATAGCACTGCATCCCTAAAGCGTAATTTGAGGGGTCATTATGTAAGTTCTGATTTAAACTTTCTCACCCTTACTGGCGATTTATCCCGACAGTCATCATTCCTTACTTATTTGTTAATTTGGTAACGGTTTGCGACATCTCTAGATTCTATAAAGATGAAAGTTCTGATTCTAAATTTCGTCAGTGGTGGCACAAGTAGTTAAAATTTGGTTGCTTGTGTTTCATTACCACATTAGCATCATCAATATGCTCCTCATAGTCTTAGAATTTCTCAATCTCTTTTCTTTTCAATCATTCAGAAGATCTGTTAATTAATCTTACTATGTTTAAACTCAGCCATGGATGTCCAGAGCATATGATCCCTGCACTGAGAGGTATTCTGAAGTTTATTTCAACCGTCCAGACGTTCAAAAGGCACTCCATGCCAATGTAACTAAAGTTTCTTATCCATGGCAAACATGCAGGTATGTATTTTCTTCTCAATATTCACTGGTTGCACTTTCTGTAATAGCAATCTTACATAACTGCTTTCCACAGTGATATTGTTGGAAACTACTGGGCCGATTCTCCTCTGTCCATGCTTCCGATTTACAAGGAGCTCATAGCTGCTGGTCTTAAGATATGGGTATTCAGGTAGGCTGACCACATTACCAACTCATGATCCTCAGCTCCCTGAATATATATGATTCAAGTGACATTTGTTTAGTTGAATGTTTGGAAACTTGATGCTAAAATACCAGCATGCAGTAGCGGTAATGGTGGCTGATATTGGATGTGCATTGCCTCTAGATATTCCCTAGAGGCAGTTCTGTTTTTTACGTTCATTAAGAATTTACTTGCAACAGCTCACTGGGCATTTCATTATATTGTGCAATGCTGACCAATCAAAAAGGTGCTGTGTATAGATTTTGTGTGTACACGTGTATGTTGTGGATGTAGTTTTTGGAACTGTAGCTTAGTTAAAGAGGGACCAGGAAGATGAAAATAGAAAATTTTATTTTTTGGACTTTTTATTGTATTTAGTAGTTGAATGATCAATTATATGTGAGAAAATGATATTAACTTATAAAATTGACTTTGCTGACTGAAAAGCAGTTTTCCCAGAAGCGTTTTCCTTTAAATTTATTGGCTAAACAAATGAATATAATCATTTTGCTGAATCAAAATTACTTATCATGTTTATTTACAAAAGGAACCTGACTGCCACTGTTATTATGCTTCTTTTCATTGCAGGATTTAAAGTTTAAAGAGGCTATTTATCAATATTATATTATTTTTTGGGTTTGTGTTTTATGCTTTCTAGTACTTAAATTTGCATTGTGTATCTGGGTAGAATCACAGATTTCTTTCACCATTCTTCTTTTCTTGGTTTTACTGTGCGGCCTGTAGCTGACATGGCTATTTATGAACTCTTTGTCCAGTGGAGACACTGATTCAGTGGTTCCTGTGACTGCTACTCGTTACTCCATAGATGCTCTGAAGCTACCAACCATTACCAACTGGTTTCCATGGAACGACAATGGCAAGGTTAGTGCTATCGGAAAAATGTTCTTTAGAGACTGAAACTTCAATTGCAATTTCATGTTTTCATTGTAATTTCAGTAAATAGCATGGTAGCCTTTTGCATCCAATATTTTTCTCTTATTTGATTTCTTTGGGCCATGGACTGTGCTTCTAACAATCATATCTTTCGTTAACTGGACATAGCCTTTTTCTACCTTAAACTTAGTAATTCTGCAGTATATTGTGTAATCCATACAATATAGCATTGGTATAAAAAAGAAGTTGGTGTGGTAATCACCGTAAATAGTCACCAACATCTATCTTCTATAATGTTTTATGATGATACTTTTGAGGTGTTTTCTATAAGGTTGTCCTAAGTTGATAACAACAATGGTTAGAACTGTTTCTGCAACTGTGGTTAAATCTCTCCATTGTCTTATTTGGTACCAGTTATCTGTGTCACTGACTCACTGCACATTTATTACTATCTTCTGTTGTTACTTGTTTGGCACTGTGAATTTGTTGGATGAGTTCCCAAATGTATGAAACCTAGTATCTGCCGGACACTTTCATGTTAAATACACGGGGGTGGCTTCTATTGTTACACAGGGATCCGTAAATTAGCATGCATTGTCAACCTTGAAAATTTAGCGATCTTTAGTTGGACACTGGTTTTGTACTAGGAACCCTAATATTTCATCTTCTCAAAAGCTCTTGTTCTCTTGTTTATATAGGTTGGCGGCCGGAGCCAAATATACAAGGGTCTGACATTTGTCACTGTGACCGGAGCTGGGCACGAGGTTCCACTCCATCGACCTCGCCTAGCTTTCATTCTTTTCCGATCATTCTTGGAGAGCAAGCCAATGCCAAGTTAGATCGATTCGATCTTATTCACATATTCTTGATGGATAAGCACACAAACACCTGGAATTGCAGCAATTGTTCATACCCAGGACCCTAGAAAACACAAAATAAAAGCAGCATTCATCTCGAGTGCCCCTCCATTCTTGCTCCGAGTAGCGACATTTAATAGTCCGTTTTACCGACAAGTACGAACAGTTAAGAGTAAACATTGGAATTGTTCTATACGTTTTGTATTACAGATATATATTCTTTATATTGGTATTTGATTTAGTGGGATTGCAGAATTGATTTTTGTATGAAAAGGATGATGTTTCTTTGAGTTCAAAGCAATGCCCAAAGTTAACGGCGGAATTAGATGCTTGGTTTCTTCGGATCCAAGAAATAATGCATATTATTTTGGAGGGTTCAGATTACATCAGTTAAACCCGCAGTGGCCATGTTAGACAAGTCAAAGAGAGATAAAAGTCAACACTTTAACTTGTATCTCAAAACTTGAATTTGTTTATTACAATGAAGATCTCATGGACATGTTATAGCAGCCACTTTGTCCCCTAAGAAAATCAAGTTATGCGATGAGTTGACAAAAGAATATATACGTATATATGTATATATTGTTGTGACATATGTTCTTATCAATATGTGATTGTGTAAATCCTAAGTAGAGATAGAATACAAATCCTTTGAGATATAGAAGATCTTTCCTAATATACTTTGTATTACTTGGAGAGCAAGTATCTCTCCACCTTATTACCATAAATAAAGGCACAAGGACTGGGGAATTAACACACAATTCCTTAAGTCTATTCTCCATCTTTCTCTCTTCCCCCTTGCCGCACCTCTCTATTAAATATAGGACACAACACGTTATCAGCACGCTTTTCACGCTGTGCTAAAGAGAATTTCTTTGTCTTCAATCAGGGGAGTATTACGTTTGAATTATTTTTAATTGATTAAATTTTGATTTTACTAAATTCATATACTTTTATTGATTCAATTTATTTTTCTTATGTTGAACGTGATACAAGCTTTGGAGATGGAAAGCCGAAATTGAAGAAATAATTTTCTGCATCAAACCAGTTCATCAATATCATCATGCAATCAAGTTCTTCTAAAACAATGGTTTTTATCTATATATTTTTACAGCCTTGATAGCATGAATAATGCATGACCCAACTTTATGTTTTTTGAATTTTAGATTCTACATAAATTGTGTATGCATTATATTCATAATTATAAAATTATGTGAATTGATATCGCATGAAATTAAACTATATATGCATATAATTGAATTGAAAAAAATTGAAAAAAATTAGGGTTTCGAGACCCTAACCAGCGAGCTACAAGCCTTGAGTCGCGCTGCTTTGCAAGACATAGAGTTGTGATGCACTGGAGCATAGCTTTGCTATGTTGAGAACCCAAGAAAAGACGCCGATTGCATCATCCCCAACCCAGAAAACATACCCTCGCCGGAAGCCGAGACCATGGCGTTGCCATTTTTTTTTTGGACATCATGACTTGCAGTCGTAGTTCGTTTGGGTTTTCATCGTCATCTACAATAACGTTCTTTGAATTTCAGTTGAAATTCATTGAAATCGAAGATTCTTGAATCGAATACTCTTGATTCTACCCTTCCCCAAAGTCGAGGATCCTTCTTCGTCATTGAGATTGGTTCCTCGATGAACCATCATGCATCGGAACTCATTCCCAAGGTTTCTAGACCAAGACACCGTCGCCAGAAGTGGCGGTGCCAGCCTTCTCCTTTGGCGACCACACCCAGCAGCGGCTAGGATACTTTCTTGGTCCACTGAGCCTTATTTGGGCCTTGGTATTTTCCTCCTAGGCTCACTTGCAACAGCCTAGTGTAGTTGTTTTGCTTGGCCCGCGTGGCTGTGGTGCTCCCATGTGATGTGCCACATTGGATCTATGCCCTCGGTTCTGTCCCATCCGTGTTTTAGGCCTGCCTGCAGTAGCCCAGCAATGCATGGAAGCCTACTGTTTTCCCCATGGCTTGGCCCACCACTTGTCCAGCCCATTTTTTTTGGGTTTGGGCTCCCAGGTTCCATTTTTTCAAAAAGCCCCTGTGGGCTTTGGTTCATTTTGGGCTACAAATTTTAATAGCCTATTAGGGTTTTGGTCCAATGCCTTGGGCCACCAATTATATTGCCTATTTTTAGGTTTTATGGGTTTTAAATTTTTTCGCCCAACTTTTAATTTTGGCCCGAAGTCCAAATAATTAAATTATAAATTCTATACATATTTGCATAATTTCTTGTTGCATATTTTTGTATATATTGCGTTTGTTTGCAAGTATTATGAACTTGATGTTCATACTTTCGAACCCAAAGTTTCAGAAAAGTGCCATCGAAACTTGAAGTTTCTTAAGGAGCAACACTCATGTTGAGACCCGAAATTCTCTATACTTAAATCCGTTTAAACCAAACCATGTCTTAGAACCTGAATGTTCTAACTTAGATGTTTATGAAAATTTTCTTTCCTAAAACACCAATCACACTCTTGTTTCCGCCATTTAGCATATTGTCGAACCATAACAAGTTCGATTTCACTGTTTGGAAGTTTCGAATAAGAAACTACTTTATGTGGATACAAGACGTGACACCCGGCTTGCAAAATCATTGTAGCTAGTTATGGTATGGAAGAGCTGAATAAGTCTCCGCCATGTTCTTCATTCGAAAATTTATGCCTGAAGCATATCAAATGGAGGTACCTTACTGCCGAGGACTCTATGGCTTTTTGACTCGCTATAGACCATTTCAAATCATGCAAAGATGAAGTCTTGCCTGAAGCAAAACATGATTGAAACCTTTACGTCCATGAATAGATACAATTCTGAAGTTTATATTTGATCGAATTTTGATTGGAAGAAAATCTTCCTTGTCCTTCTATATTTAAATTGCTCCTGAAGTAACAATATAAATAGCTGAAGTTTACCAAATTCTCGGATTTGATTACTACCACACCTGTGAGAGAGTGGTACCCCATCAATTTGGCTGGGAGCTACTGAACGGTATAGACCTAGTTTCGGCTTGAGTCTACTGAGTAGTGGTGCCCTGCTTCGGCAGGGATACACCGAAATGCATGCTTTACTTCAGCAGAGATGCATTGAGGGGCATGCTTTGCTTCGGCAGAGGTGTACCGAACGGTATTGCTCTATTTCGGCAGAGGCTATCGAACATACCCCTCTAGTTCCGGCTAAAGCCTACTGAACCCAAATCTAGGTCTATCTCTCTCTCCCAATCTCATTTTCGAGTTTTTTTACAACATATGGTAGAATCAGGCTTGCCAAGATGTGGTATCACGCCCGAAGCATGATCCTCAATAAGAGATAGTATTCCCAAACTTCAACCCAGCAAAATCTAACTCCGTTTTGACAGAATATATCATTGGTTATGAATTTTTCTGTGCCTTTACCAATGTTGTTGAGGAGTACTATTTCCGTAGTCAATCTGTGAGACTAATTTTGGTCCACCTAACAAATTTGACATGGAATGTCATATTGGCCGAACCCCTTTGTATATTTGGTCTACTTTGTGATTAATTTATTTTATTCTCGGATTTAAGATTAGTGTTTAGATGTCACTATTATTCTCGAATAAAGAGTTAATTAACGAAAATTACCACATGTGACTATAATTAACTCATGCTTAGGTATGTTTTGTGGGGAAGTTAGTAGTTTGGTTCTATGCTAACTTTATACCTAATCATCCCCTAACAACCTTTCAGGCTTATCCAACCTGAATGTGGGGTATGACACTATCTTATATTGTCCAATGGTACTAGTTTTACCATAAAGGGAAACCTTATACTCACTCGTTCCAGAAGAACGCCTTTTGAGCTCTAAGGATATTCGATAGTATTATTACCATATTGAAACCAATGAAGAAAAATGGAGTAAAATTCATTGGCATATTACCATATTGCACTTCCTATGAATATAGCAAAATGCATATTTTAAAGAAGATGGAACGCTTAACAAGTGGATTACACTCATTCAGGCCCATTATGTGGCCGACCAGAAGCCCGCGATTCCAAAGGAATTTTCGCTATTGATGTATGTTTCGAATATCTAGGATGATCCGTGATGCGACCTTAGCACCTTCCATCTTTTCTACAAAGGATTCAAATGGGACATTTGTGGACCGATTTAACCACCATACAGACCATTTAGATACCCTACAATATTGGTTGATGCTTCTACACATTGATCACACATGTAGCTGTTGTTTATAAGCTGCATTCTCCACACTGGTGGCTCAGATTAACAAGCTCAGGGTTCATCACCCTGATTATTTGATCAAATTGATTTGATTTGATAAGTTGGAGAATTTACATTGAAAACTTTAACTTTCGATATATATTGCATGTCGGTTGGGTTTCGAAGTTGAACATCCAGTCCTATGTTTATACCCAGAACGACCCAGCAGAAGCATTCATTAAACGCCTTCAAATGATTGCGCGATCGATTGGTCATACACCAAGTTCCCAATCTTTGCTTGGGGCTATGTAATATTGCAAGTAACCATGGTCTGCCTGCGGCTCGTAACGACCCAACCTTATAAAGCGCTTGTCAGTTGGTTACCAGATTCAAACCCAACATATCGAATCTGCGCGTCTTTGATTGTGTGGTCTATGTGCCATTTTGCACCGCCTTTACGTACAAAAGAAAAAAAGGGGTTCTCAGGGAAAGATGGAAATCTATGTTGATTATGATTCTCCTTCTAATATTCGTTACTTAGAACCTTTGACAGACGATCTCTTTACCTCTCATTTTGCGGATTGTCACTTTATGAGACATTGTTCTCGTCGTTAAGGGGATATAAGAATGTCAACGTTCCTAAAGAACGACACGAATTATTATGGACGTCCCCACTATGTCTCATCTCGATCCCAATCTAGATCGTTAGAGTATAACCAGACACTTCCTCTGATCTAGCAAAAGTGACGAGATCACATATACCAATTGAAAATGTGCCTGCAAAGATGTGTACCAAATGTACGACGGACCTCTGTCCCGAAAGCAGGAACGCCATTACTGTGGCCGACCCTCGTACATTGGTGGCTAACCAATCAACATGTCTTGCACCAGAAGCGTGGTAGATTACTCGATTCAAGGATTCACTTCCCCAAAATTGGAGGAATATGGCACAAACGAATTTGCCCCTCGATCGTTGTTCAAACCTTTTCATCTCATGAGATTAAATCCGGATACTCCAGATGCCTGAAGTTCTTGGTACTGTATACTAGTGTGGATGAGATATGTAATTGGAATGAGATTATCATATATGATGTTTCATTTATATGGTAACTACTGACATAAATAAAAAGCGACAATAACGAAAATTAATATCGACGTAGAACTGATTGGTCAACTAGAAGAATCAATTGATGACGAATGAGATGAATGAAATAGTGAGATATGACGCCTTGTG